TGATGCCACTAGCAGGGGGAGCCCTAGGTGTGGGGGCAGGGAAAATATGATGACTCCGTGCTTCCCCTCAGTTTTGCTGCGAACCCAAAACAGCTCTAGAAAATAAGCTGATTCAAAAACAAGGCTTCAGAGCCCAGAGCCTAATCTCCTTCCTCAGTCCCGCTGTGCACTTCTTTCATTACACAGCCCTGCCCATGCCCCAGAAAGGGAGACACACTGGCAAACCCCCAAGCACAGGGAATGGCATTGGGGGCAGGTAATAAATGACCACAGCTAACACAGCAGCATTGCCGAGGATCTGGACTAGCTCCTGTTATTTCAGGGCTACTAATGAAAGTACATCACTTTACATTTTTAACTAATAAAGAGAAGCAGCTGGGTGGGGCAACGTGACCACCAGTCCAGACTGGCAGACTAGGCCCATCTCTGCCATGATGCTGACATGGCATCTGCACCTGGGGTTTTTACCCCCTCCCTCTGCCCTGCCTGGCTGCTTCAAAGTTCAGCTGTGATTCACAATGTGGACATATGTCATTATTTAAAAACAACAAAAAAGCTTCTTAAGGGGGCTTTCTGCTCATTTCTGCTGCATAAACAGTCTTTAGATGGGGGAAATGAAGACTTCTTATATCTCTCCATGATGTCAAGGGGTGGTGACCCCACACAGCGAATGGGTCCGCCTGGCCTTGCTCTCATAGCCAACCATGCCAGGGAGACGGGGCACCCCCAAGGGGACACCCCACTGACTTAGCCTCGTACAGGGGCTGACAGGTTTGTGGCCCTGGGATGAACCTTCCTGGGAAAGTTGAAAACAACTTGAAAATGAAAAGAAGGAAAAGATTTGGGGTGGAAAACGTCCAAGAAGGGAGAAGAGGACCAGGGAGCTGTCATGAGTCACATGTGGACGTGGGGCTGGCCTAAGGCCAGAAAGTTCTGGCAGAAGTTGGGCTGAGTGAGCAGGAAACTGGGGTGGTGAGAACCTGTCATCCTGTCCCCTCGAATACGTGTCCCAGACAGAGAGTGAGGGGGAAGCCAGGAAGGCAGATGAGGCCTGGGGGCTGCTGCCTCTTCCTGTGCTTAAACTCAGGGCTTGCACCCCACCAGTAAGCATTAGAGAAAGCTGAAGGATGGTGTTCAGATGACAATGGCAATTATATCCACCATTCTCTGGAATGTTGACTCCTTCCCAGGCAGTGGACAACATGCCTAACATCCGTCATCTCACTTAATCTTGACCGTGAATCTGCAATTTCCGTGACTCTCTTCATCTGACAGGAGAGTAAACTGAGTTCATTTTCCCAAGCTAATAACTAGCTAAAAAATAGTCCTAAGATTCATCTAGTGCCAAAGCTATGCTCTCCCTCTGGCATCCCCAGAGGGAGGTAGAGGTGACTACAGCCTTTCAGCCAGCAGATGAGGAGGTGCACAGTGGAAGTGCAGGAGAACAGCCTGCAGGAAAAGGGGTGATGCAACTCCACAAGGCAGATTTGGGGCAAGTAGGCAGAGGTTACCAAAAAATAGATGTCAGCTCAGCACAAGGAGACACTCCAGACTGTCAGAGCCAGCCCAAGCCAGCCTTGAAAGAATAGTCCTTTCAATAAGTGATGCTGGGACAACTGGATAACCACATGCCAAAGAATGAAGCTGGACCCCAGCCTCACACCATATACTACAAAAATTAACTCAAAATGAATCAAGGACCTAAATATAGGATCCCACTGTCAGCCCTTAGCAGGAAGAAGATCCCTGTGCTTCCTAGAAATTGCCTTCACTTGCTAGCTCAGCTGGTTGCAGAGGGCTGGCTGTAAGATAAAGATAACCAAAGACTACCTTTTCTGCCTGAGCTCTATAGTCCATGCAAGACTGGGTGGAGAACATGGAGAAACTGCCACCATGGGCACTCTGGGTGTCACTGTGGGCATTCAGGATGCTCTTTGGACACATGGGGCACTACCAAGAGTGCCATTGGGTAATGTTGAATCCTGTGGGTGCCTCATGGACACCATGGGCGTCTCTATGGGCCCCATGGGGAGTCACAGTGCAGTTGCTGCCATTGGCACCACGGGAAGTCACTGTGGTGCTGTGGGGTGTGGCTATGGGTGCACACAGGGTGCCTCCGTAGGTGTGGAGGGGTGCCACATAGCCACTGTGGGTGCTGTGGGGTGCTATGGCAAACACATTGACATTGAGGCAAGAGCCCTGTGTTTGGATCCTAACAAACTTGCTGCTTTTTAGAGGTGAAGCCTAGAGTAATTTACAACTTCTCTGAACCCCAGTTATCCCACCTCTAAACATATTATTAAGACCTACTTCTTGGGTTGTAGGGAGGATCAGCTATTATCTACAGCAAGGGTCCAGTAAAGATCATTAGGGTTAAATGTAAACCATGGGATAAAGGCTCAGGAAGACCTGTTCATGCCCGAGGTAGCCCCATGCCTCAGGAGTGTCAGGATAGAGAGTTGACACAACCCAGGCCCCATACTCAGACCTTTTTTAGACCAGGCACAGAAAGAGGTATGTGTCTCCAGGGTAACCCCATTGCTTGGTCACAAACACCCAGCTCTCACATCTCAAGAGCCTGGGCCTTTCAAGGACGTCACCTTGGGAGGCCACATTATTCTAGGGGACTGTCATCGTTCAAAGCAAACAGGTATGTCTGCTGGCAGTCTCCTCGCCCTCACAACTGCCCAGTGAGGTGCATGGTGTTTGCCGAAACCTGAGGCTCTGGGAGATCAAATCACTCACCTGGAGTCAAAAAGCTACTGAAAGGCAGAGCTGGGACTCAGCCTCCACCAGTCTGGCTCCCAAAACCCAGCAAACATTTCCCACAACAGCACATGCCTGTCTGCCTGTGGCCATCTGGTCATCTTTGTATTTTTCCTGTGACTATAACACTGATCCGTTTCCTGGCTAACGGCAGGGGCAAGGCTAACTCACTCTGCTCCCTCGGCAACCCTCCTGAAGGTAGCCCAGGAACAGCACACTTGCCTCTTTTTTTCTGTACTTAAATAGATTTTTTCCCTTCGTTCACCCAGGCCCACGGTTTCCCCTGATTAGAGAAACATCCGCAGCAGAAAGGTCCTGGGGAAGTTAAGCTTTTTCCGACTCCCTTCAGAGCCTTCTCCTGATTGAGAGCCGTGCGAGATCCAGGCTCTGTGATAAGGCGATAGCTTCCTGTGGGGATCAGGGGGGCCACTGCCAGGAGGCTCACAATTAAGATTATGGCACTGGCGGAGCGGGGGAGCTGCAGGGGGAGAGAGAGCTCACGCAGGTCCCAGGCCTCACCTCTCCTCTGCCACTGTCCACTTGGGCCTCAGCCTGGCCCTGCTTTACCTGCCTCTGGGAGCCAGCCACCCTATTTTGAATTCCAGCTGGAAAAATCCTGGCCAGACAGTGGCACAGTCTGAAAATGAGAGGATGAACTGGGAGACCAGGGGACTATCCCTGATCAGTGACTAGGATAGTGACCGAGTGCACGGGGCACCAGAGGCAACAAAAACTTCAAATGCCGTCAGGTGGCTGGTGCAGCACTTCACAATGTGTACACCCCATTCTACCCTCACAGCAGCACTAGGGGTGGGAAGGAACAGTGTGGGAGTTTTCTGCATGTTCCTCATCTCATCTTCTCCCCCAAACAACCCCATGGGTAGGCGTGATGCTCTCATTTTAGAGATCAGACAACCAAGACCCACAGAGATTTTTATCAAGAGCCCAAAGTTTAGGAAAAAAATTCCAGGTTAAGACAACAAATCTTTTTTTTTTTTTTTGAAACTTAAGCCTCAAGTCACAGAGATGGTTAACAAAACACATTAGAATAGAACTACAGGGTAGCTGAGACCTTGGGCAAGTCACCTGACTTCTCTGAGGCCCAGTTTTCTCTGCTCTCGATGGTGTTGATAATAGTGCCGAGATCCTGGGGCTGTACTGAGGACCAAGAGAGACGACGCAGGGAGTGCGCTTAGCACTGTGCCTGGCACGGAGAAGCCCTCGGTGCTGGTTAATCAGACTTTTCTGGTTAGCTGGGACTCAAACCCACCTCCATTTGCACGTCAGGCCTGGTGGTCATTCCACTGAGGGTCTAAGTCATCCTTTGCCCGAGACTGGCAATCAGATCTCCTCAGAGCTTTCAAATGCCCTCTGCACAGCCTTCCCAGAGCCTCCATCCATCTCTGCTTCCCCAGTGTCCCACCACACCTGTCATAGCTTCTACCTCAGCCCTGGTCTTGGAACCTCAGAAATAGGAGACATGAGGGCTGAAACTGAGATTCAAGTCACTGCTGCCCCATTTTACACATGAGAAAACAAGGTCCAACGAGAATGGCTTATGAGGACTCATGAGGCACAGTGGTGGCACAAGCTGGGTCAGAACACAGATGTCCTGGCTCCTCATTCAGGAACCTTCCATGAGGCCTCCAGAATGTCATATGACCTGGGATCATGGGCAGCCCAAGAAATTCCCAGAGCCCCAGAAGTCCACCAGGGCTTTTCCATCCTCAGTTCCATCATGGAATGTGAACTTGACCCAAGAGTCTTGAGATGAGGAGGAGGATGAGTCGCTTTAGGAAGGTGTTTCCTTCCCCCAATCCCAAGACCGCAGTGGGTGTGAGGGAGGGGAGGTGTGGCAGGGGTCCTCAACACCAGCCAGGCTCTCTGTGAGCCCCAGGATCTCTGCTTTCCCTCGGAGGGCTCCCTCCCTCCAATCCTTCAACCCCCATGTCCTGGATGGACTCAGGGGCAACCATGACCTGCAGCCCCCTCAACGGGGCAACCAGCCTCATGAGACCCCACTCAAGCATTAGCCTCTCTAATTACACCTTACATTTGCTCCCTAGCCCTGAACAAACACCTAGGGGTGGGGACAAGAGTAAAGCCACCCTTCACCTGCCCTGCATTCCCCAGCCCAAGCTGAGAGCTCTCTCACTCAGAAAGGCGGGCTTGGGGGGCAGGGGGAGGAGAGGAGATGAGTTGAGATGCCTCTACACCATGATGCCAAATCATACCTCTTTCAACTGGTATCTTTTCCTTTCAGGGGTGTCAGGATTCTCTTGAGGTCTCTCTCTGGTGGTGGCTTCAGGAGAAACTCTAGGGGGAGACAAGAAAGAAAGAAATTTAAGAAGCCATGGATTAGCAGAGTACGGGGCTTCTGGGGGCCAGCTCAGTCCAGATGTGCACCCACTCCCTGAGGTGTCCACTCCCTCCTTCCCCCTGCAGGTGCAGCAGCCAGACAGGGCCCACGGCCAGAAGACAGGACCAAGCACCCAGCGCCACACAGGCTCCCAGGATGGCGTCCCCAGTGCCTGTGGGTTGAGGCATATTTTCAGTCTTCTCAAATCAGCCCAGCAGCCTGTCCAACGGCCGTGTGATGACTTCGAGAATATGCTAATCACAACATCGCATTGCGTTTCTTTGCTTCTAGCTAGACTATTATCAACTTGGTGTGGGAACTCCATTTTCCTTAGGTGGAAAAAAAAAAAATACGCGTTCTGAGTAATTTTGAAAATGTGAAGGAGAATTAATCATTTCCTAATGAATGCAGACTCTGCTCAGAAGAAAACTTTCAAGATCTGGTATCCGGGAAGAGATAAGTAATAAGAGGAGGGGTCTTCGGTGGTAAAAAAAACAACTCAGCCCCAGAGTGCAGGGCCAAAGTCCAGCCTCTCCCCCGCTTCCTCTCTGTCGGTTTAACTGAGTCCCCAGATCACAGGAGAAGGAACAAGGTCAGGCCGAATACCTGCCTGCCAAGACTTAGGCCAGCGCCAGGGGACCAGGTCATTCACATGCACAGCTGAGAAACAAGAGCAAAACTTACAGCAGACAAGGTAGAGCCAAGTTCCCCGATGTCCCCCTCCTAACTCCGTCTGCCCTCAATGCCCAGGCTGAGCAGTGGAAGCCCTGATCAAGCTTCAGGCTGCCTCAAATAATTATGACAATCATCCTGATACCCTCTCTAATCCTACGAGAAAGTATCACCCCTTCAGAGGTGAGAACCATGAACTCAGAGGAATTAAAGAACTTGCCCAGGGTCATACAGCTGAAATGGGGCAGAACCAGGACTAACACTCAGGTCCTGGGAAGTCAAACCTGGTGCACGTGTCATCTCCACAGTGAGAGAGGTGGAAGCAGGAGAGCCATGAGTTCAAGGTCTGCTCTACAGATCCCAGCATCAGTGTACCACACGCGCAGAGGCCGTTCTCAGACTCTGCTAACTGGTGGGGAACAGGGCTTGGCTGGAGGATATCACCTCTGCCTCTGCCTCATTCATCCAGGCAGTGTCAGCCTGGGGAACCTCATGCACTGGGGGCCAGACTAAGGCTACAATCAGAGGAATTCATGATATACACACACACGTGTACATATGCATATATATACACACACATACATATACATATATATCATACAATTTTCATTAACTACAAACTGAAAGTTCTTCCTTATCCATGCATCCTAATTAACAGATAAAGCCTCTGCAAAGACTGTGACCTTGTAGATCTCATTCTGTGTGATCACAAACATGTGAGCATGTGCCCACATGCAGACAGTGTGACTTTACACAAACGGGATCTTAGCACAGATATTCTACAACAGCACTTATTAGGAATACCGTGTCTACCTGTGACTGTGACGCTATACAGACCTCCTGAGTCTTTTCCGCAGCTGCACAGTACCCCATGATAGATGTGGACCATAATATATTTCCCCCCTCACCATGGATATGTGGGGTATTTCTGTTTCCAGCCATCCCAACCTTGCAATGACCCCCACATCTCTTTGGAAATGTCCACGCAATTCCAAAGCCTGGAAGTGGGACGGCTGGGCAGAGGCTCTGTGCATTTCACCTTTGAACAGATGCAGACAAACCGCCTTCCCAAATGCTGGGTCAACTCCCCTCACATCACAGGGTGGAAGGAGCCCTTTTCCTTAGATATAAATTGGAAGCCAGAGTTGTGTCTGCAGAAGGGCTTTCCCTGTCACCTCCCAGTGGCCTGGGACGACGAGTCCCCTGGACAAAGGGGGGAGTTGATTTCTTGGCTCCTGCAGACAGCGGGCCACAGCTTCACTGCCCGGGGGGCATCTCTGAGGAACTCAGGCCCACCTGAGCCAGGAACTACATTTACAGGCTCAGAGCTGATAATGAGCTTTTATGAGCTCTGGGGACCGCGAGGAACACGTATTAATGTCAAGCATGCCTGTCAGCCACGCAGCCTGGGTGAATGTCACACATTAACGAAATTAAAGGCTGCAGCCACACTGGGAAGGAGCTGGGGGCTGCATGTCGGGTGGTGCGGGCAGGCCTGTCAATAACAAAATTACTTTCCAGCTTTTGCACTCGGGAGCCTGAAGCTGTCTCCCATCTTCGGAGGAATTCTGCTTTCTTGCAGCCTGAGAGGAGATTAGTTTATTACCAGTCTGCCAGGAGAGGCAAAATCCAGCACTAATCCTAATTCCCATTTAAGCAAATCTGCCTCATGTGAGAGAAACCAGCTGGTCTTGGAATTTCTTCCCCCTTTTCCCTGAGATCTCATTCCAGCCCCCCCCACCTTCATGGAAGAGGGGGGTCACTGCAGATGCTGGACTGGAGGCCTCCTGGGAGGGAGAAAAGAATCCCAGGGTTTAAGGCCAAGAGAGGGGCTGATGTTGGGTGACAAGAGGTAGCACTGACCGATGGTAAGCCAGACGATGGGGTTTGCTGTTGACCTGGTGGTCTCGGGTTGCGGGAAGGAAAGGCCACCACCCTCCAGTTCCCAGACTTGGTCTTGCTTTGTACTAAGATGGCACAGGTTCAAAGTGGCACAGGTTGAAATCCCCAGTCCACCCCTAACTAGTTCTGTGACCTTAAGCGAGGGACTTTCCTACTCTATACCTCAGCTTATCTGGGAAACTGGGCTCACAGCTGCTGATAATTCACATGTTGTGAGGGTTACATGAGGGAAGTATTCACAGGACTTAGAGAGCCTGCCACACACTATCCTATTTCTTGAGTCTAAGACTCCGGATTATATTTTATGGATTCTAAGGACGGAAACATTGCCAGTTAATTAATTATGATGTGTCACTTTTTGTATGATGCATCCTGGTTTCAGAGACATTAAAATAAATTAAAAAAATAAAGAGTGCTTTAGACTCCATGAAATATAGTAAGAACGTAATCAATGGCAGCAAATGTGATGGTTATTGGCCAAGTCCTCCCAGTTTTCAAAGTCCAGCTCAAACTCAGATCTTTTCCCTCCCCTCCTTCCAAACAAAGCAAATCTGCACTGTGCGAGGAAAACCAGCTCTCAGGTTATGAGAAAAATTCTGAGAGCCACTTTGCTGTCCTGAATGAGGCCCAGATGAGAAACTGTAATGTCTACTCTGATGTTTCCTACTCTATTGTTAAATTAAAATAGAACATATATACACAGCAGTGCAAACACCATGAGTATACAGCTTATTGAATTTACACAAACAGAGCGCCCCTGTGTAACTGACACCCACATCAAAGACTGTTCTCCATGTTCCCAATCATTGTTTCTCTTCTATCCCATGTCTCTCAAATCACCCCTGACGCTTCGACCCCACTGCCTCTCCCATCCTGCCTGGATCAGCCTCTGCATTGCCTGCCTGCTTGCTACCAACATGCTCCTGGCTGGTCAGCTGGCCAGTGGCCTTTGTGCCCCCAACCCGCCCTCTCCTTTCTCTCCTTTTCAGTGCAACCAAGCCCATAAGGGTGGAGCACCACGTCCCTCTCCTGCTCCAATAGGTTCCCTGGTCTCCCTTGCCTACATACGGGGACTTTCATCATCTTATCCCTGGTTGCATGTCTTTCCAGGCCCACCTTCAGGTCCTCACAATATGCACAGACCCCAGAGTCAAACTGAACTCACTTGCAAAGTGTGCATAATTATAGTCCTACCTGGCTGGCCTGAACTGGGGATTAGATGATTTAGCAGATTGTAAGTGTTTCCCACGGTACCTGGCACAAAATAAGCAGTCAATAAATAGAGGAAGCAGAAATTATGTGAAATAGAATCTGCTTGCTACTTGCTGTAAAAATGGTAGTGGCCCTGATTAGTAGTTCCAAGTTCTACTTCTCAGATCCTTCTCTCCCTCTGTCAGGGGTCTCCACAAAGAACAGATGGGTCTACACCCAGACATATGCTAACACTTAATTCACAACAGCTGGACTTTCTGATATTTTATATATTAAGTTTCCAGATAACACTGAAGACCACTGGTTTATAGCCTTTTGATAACCTAGATCCCAAGTCAGTAGGATTTCAGAGGAGGAGGAGAGCTAGGAAGGCTTCCTGGAAGAGGCACCAAGGAAAGGATGAAGGGAAGTGATCAGCCCAATGATGAGTCCTTCCCTGGCTAGCTCCTCTACAACCTCTCTCTCTCTCTCCCACTTCACTCCAGCCTCTCTACATATCTTCCTGGCTCCTAGGTGGAACTGCCATCCTTCTGAGCCCCATGACCACAAGGACTCTTGGTCTTATGCCCTAAAAGGGGGTAGCATCCTCAGTGAGACCCTGGAGGAGGCTTGACCCTGGGCCCCCTGTCCCCACACTGATGCCAAGCCACAGGATCCAGGCTGAACCACTGCCAGCTGATGCCGGGTTTGTTGACAGATAAAAGCTCTGCAGTTTATGGCTCCAAAGCAAAGCTGGGGCTTTGTATTGCTTTGTTTTAAATTAGCAACACAGGGGGCTGGTGTGGGGGTGGAGAGAGGGAGAGGAGCCAAAGCGAGTTCAGGAGGAGTTCCTGCTGTGTCCAGCATCTCAACTATTCTCTGAACAGCTCCTAATGAAGCCGCATCCTGTCTCTGCATCTTCTCACCACCTGCACTTGTCTCCCTGGGAGAGAGTCTCCTCAGCGCTGCCCCGCCCTGTCACTCAGCCCCCATCACCCTGTTCCCATAATGAGTCCCTGGATCTGCCTAATTGTGCCCCAAAGTCACTGTGGAGCTGAGGTGGGAGCCATAACATCCTCAGGAAGACTGGGATTTATTTTTGCTCCAGAAAGGGAGAGCCACTCCCTACATTTAATTGGGCAGAGCGCAGTGGGTGTTGGCACTGCTATCAAGGGTCCCAGGGGGCAAGGAA